TTCCAATCTGAAAAATATATGCGTCAAGTGGAATACAAACTAAGGGAGATAATTGGGACGCTTCTAATAGCACCAGCCCCCCAGTGGCACAGCGGCATGTCTGCGGACTTACAACGCTAGAATCCGGGTTTCGATACCCGTGGTGGGCAGAGCACAGATAGTCCGTTGTGTAGCTTTGTGCTTAATTACATATAAACTAATACCACAAACGAAATACTGGCAAAACGTTGAAAGACACGAGGGACATAGAGACTAACGTACATAATTTTCTGGAATAAAGTACTTAATAGAGAATACACAATGTACATGAAGCAATTAGTCGTTAATATATAATGTGTATGCTAAAAACATTAATAATAATACAGAAACAATATTACCGGAATATGTTTTTGTAGCTGAACTTCAGGAACTTTTGAGAACACCAGAAAAAAAATATATATATACATTTCATGAAATTCAAACACTTTCTAGCAAAAGTAAAATTGGGAATAATTATTTGCAGATAGCCTTTTCTGTAATTTTGCGTGAAAATCCGAAACAAACATCCAAGCAAACAGTTTAACTAGAAAAAGGAAAAAGTTGAATAAAGGTGATTAGTCACGATTCTACAGCTTATCTATTTTAAACTGTAGGTGTTAAACTAGTTTAGAAATTAATATAAGCTTACCGTTATATTACGTTTCTAACTTACTTAAAAATTTATGAACAGAAATAATACCTGCCTTCTGATAATTATTTGTAATAAACACCAGTTATTATTTTCGTAAGGAATTATTTTTGTCTTTTAACTTAACCGTATCCTGATTCTTACACTTTCTTCTCTAGGATAAGAACATTTATTATTTGATAACTGATTCCAAAATTCTCGTTTTTAATTTACACTAATGTGTATGCAAAAATATAAATTTATTCATTATTAAAACAAATGCATTTAATTAGTTATTGAAAAATTTTAAACAAAGTTTTGAAATGATTGCAGACATTCGACAAAACTGAATTCCAAAAAGCACAGTGCTATCTGTTGAGCTGAAGATAGCTAATTTAAAATGTGGGGAATAGCATATTTTTTAGATATTTGTCTCCCGGCGAGACAGCGTTTATTCTACGAATTTACAACGCTAAAATTCGGGGTTTGATTTCCCGCGGTAGGCACAGAAAATAGCCCAATGTGGTTTTGCTCTCAAACAAATAAATAATCTGTAGATGTTTATTTTTAATATTGTACTGCAGAAATTAACCAATGTTTGAATACAATAGTTTTAACCTGGCATAAAGATTATTGATATCTCAGGCACACCTTCTTTGATCTGCCAGCCTCCTTTTTATTTATCTTACTTAGTCAAGCCTATATTCATGCTATATTCAAGTACACTGATATCCAACAGGTAGTATAATGTTTCCGCAAAAAACACAGGTTCAGCAAATGTTATGTAATAAATAAACTGAACATTGAAAGCAAAGGAAAAACAAACAAACACATGTAAACAAACAAATCAAATATTTACTCACAATAGTATAATATTTAATACAAAAACGGTCGTTTTTTTGTTTATTTTTTTACTTTCGCTATGTCTTATCACTAGTTGATGGGGTGGGAGAGGCTTTCCAAATACTTCATTGTCAAGTCAAGCGAAGGAGTGCTATTATCGTATTATTCCATAACTTCTAAATTACAATAGCTATTCCAAACAACATATACAAGGAAAGAGCCCCTAACTCATACTAACTTGTACAAGTAACCGTATCACTAATTGAGATTGGGTTTCCTAGCTTCATGGAGTAGGAAAAGAAACAAGATCAAACTCTTACAAGCTTCCATGGGATAGCCATTCCCTTATATATCTTTTAGTTACGTGTTTATGAGCTTTATACACACAATTTATAAGGATGTTATCTACATTCAGAACATTTACCTGAAAATTTAAAATAATTACCTGAATATATCTTACTACAGATATTATTATAAACTAGTTATCAAAGAGGAAAATGAACAGTTATTTCAACTATAACAATTCCCATTCTTCCTTATGTCTATATCTTCCCAGGTTCGAACAATATATTAAATGGCCGTAACATCTAGTAATCATCTCATCAGGAGACACGCAAGATATCATTATACATACAGAAAGAAAACAAAGGGTTACATAAAAATTTCAGCAACCACTTAAAGCAATCCAAAATAAATAAAACTGAACCATAATCTTAACATAAAATACAAGATAAACCAAAAATCAAATCATAAGTATAATTTTTCGTCAGTAATCGCATGACATTTAGGTTTAAACAAAATAAGATTTAAACATTACAGCTCAAATTCAGAAGAAGAGAAGTAAATTTTAATAAAATTAAGTTACCAGATAGAACAAAATAAGTATAAGGTTAAATGCAAAATAGAATTATAAAACACACAAATATGATAAAATATTAATTAATTGAACAAAGTGATATTGTATTAGGCATTTGCAAGTCTCGCAAGACTATAGATTAGGCACCAAAAGAAAAATGTCTAATTCTTTAGGCACTTTCTTGAATGGCTGTATAGTCCTACTTGGGACAAGGGTACTCTGTTGCAATACTGTAGACTTATGAAGATATTTATAGCACTCTTTCAGTGATTGTGGGCTGTTCGTAACTTTGGATGTTGTGCTTGTTCCTCAGGATTTCTCCAGAATCTGGATATTCCATTTTCTTTGTAATTCATGGCAAGTTTATCACACAACATTAGCAACTGAGAGTGCAGACACTTGAAACATGGTCATTGAAGTACAAGCTTTGCCCAAGAAATGGTTACAAATCCATGACATGCCAGTCTGAAGACTTTTAGATTTGATGGGTGGTTCTTGTTAGCCTTGTTGGGAAGTAATAGACTATTAGGCACTTTAGAAGGCTTATAGCCCCATTAAAAAGTCAAGACTGAAAACTCTAAGTCAACACAACGTGTGATAGGTTAGCACTTTAATGTTACACGTTACTACCTGAAAGTTTCATAGAAAAGTTCATCTTGTCGTGTTTTACGCCGTTCATGGTGCATGGATTCGCCACTAAGGCATCAGAATGTATCTTTTCCAAGTACTAGTGCACATGCACCGCTGAGTTACTGGAGGCACTTTGGAGGAATGAGCGGTGAAGCCATTGTGAGGAGTCTGGGAGCATATCCTGTAGGGAAAGTTTATAATTTTCGCCGAAATGACCATTTCTATTGTATCTGATACTGTTTTTACACCTTTTAAAAATGTTTTGTACCTAAATGGCCGCCCTTTTCCTTTGCTTATGCATATGCCATAGGAATGGTATAGCTATCTCTGGACATACCATAAAGATAATATTTATTACATGTACTTATAAGAATTTATAAATGAATTTCAATAATATATATATATACTCCCGTTTTAAGATGTAACAGAAACAATCTTTTTTTTTTCAAATCTCAGAAAAATCCCAATCATTATTGTTGACTTAGAGAACGAAAAGATTCTTATAAGACTATCTTGATTGAGATGCTTACTAGTGCATGAAGTTCACACATACAAAATATTAAGTTAGTACAAAAAGGTAAAGTTGAATCATTTTACCCTTGTATAGATATGGCAACAAATATTTTTGTTTGTTTTAGAGCAAAGCTACTCTGTCCACAGCGGGATATCGAATCTCGTACATTACCATTGTACATCCGTAAACTTATCGCTGTCCCACCAGTGGACGATGAAAAGTGGCTCAAAATTTAACATAACCAAGGTAATTAAAAATTGCAATCATTGTCTGTTTCTTTAATTTTCGCCTAAAGCTACTTTAAGACTGCCTGCGCTAGCAGTTGCCGGTGTTAAAGTGATAGACTAGAGAGAAGACGGCTAGTCAACACTGCCCACAAAACAATTTTTGGGTTGCTGTTACAAAAGAATAGTAAGATTGACCTTCACATTATAACTCCCCCGCGGCTGAAAGAGTAAACATGTTCGGCGTAGCTTTTGTTCCCCTGACCTGCAGGCTGCAAATTGAGTACCATAAATAACATGTCCAAGTACAATAAATAATTTCTCCAGGTGTCTCACTGGTAAGACTGAGGACTTACAACGCTAAAATTCGGAATTTATACCCGAGAAAGTTGCAGCTAAAACAGTCCATTGTGTAATTTTAAGTATATTCACATATAGCTTTGTTAGTAAAGCTGTTATTTTATCATATCAACACTTGAATCAAACCCATTTTGAATTTGTATAGCTGTAATTAAGAATGATCATTCAGTATTCAGTGTAAGCAATTAAATTAAGTTGATAGAAAAATAAACTATTTAGAATCCCGGTTCGAATTTCTAGAACTTGAGCCTCTAAAATCATTCGATTAAAAAAGGGCTTTAGGACTGCAACCACTACAACAAAGTCATGAACCCACAAGCAATTTGATGTATAAATATTTTTTCAAAAATATGTTTAGAAAGCCAACTGGGTTCTAGTTCTATGGTTAACTAAATATCAGAAAGTGTTTCGCTTTTCAACATATTCCTCGGCGATATAAGTAAACACTAAATCAGTGAAAGAAAAGTATCTATATTTTCTTCTTCTATCACGTCCAAACTATTTGATCACAATTGTAGTTATTTATCTCAATATTTAGGTATTAGCAAAAGGTATTCACTGAATCCAAAATGTAGTAAGTATAAAAACTAAGAAAAGAAAGAACAAACATTTCAATAAATCTGTTTCAATTAATTTTATAATACAATAACGGCATTGTTCATTGTATTTTTGAATTAATTATTCAGTTCAGTAGGTTCCTTACTAAACATTGAATGGGTTTTAATTACGTTTCCAATAGAATAGCATAGTAATAATTTCAAATAAACATTACAAAGCCTGTACAGAGGTCGGCTTTGTGAATTGTATTGAATATATAACATATATATATATATATATTTGTTATTTTGTTTTTCTGCTATTGCTTCTTCTCCTTTTCTTTTTTTAATTAAATATGAGAGTCCTCTATCGGCAGTTCTTTGAAGTGTATCGTTGTTGGTGTCTTGCTGAGGTACTTTTAATGGTAATTCCTGCTCTGAGTTTGGAAAGAGTCCTAGGTAATCAATGCTGGTAGTTTCTTTTTATCTAAGCCCATATTGTTCTTTAGCTATATCAGAGTGATAAGTAAGACTGTGTACTATATGATATATATATATATATATATATATATATAATTAGCAGCGATCATCTGATGTTAACCATGATGGAGACCAAATGCAAAGCTAGTTAAAAGTTTAGTAAATTACAACTTAACAAGCTAAGTTTTTCTACTTGTTAGAAAGCTACGCTT